TGTCTATGTACTGCTGTCTAAAAACAGCTTTAGCAGTTTTCTGTAGTTGTCAATAAAGATCTCATATTATCGAAATAGACAAGTATGCAATCCATGACGTGGCGTGGATATGATCCGCATTTCGGATCGTTGACGTAGCAAACGCGTTTTCCCCATTCCGGAACTCTGGAATATTGTTCCGTAAGGAGCATAGTAGATATCCTCATACTCACTCCATTGACGTCCGCATGTCTCCAAGTATTCCGACAAACCGCCAAGCAACCCAAAGTCTTTGTAGTCGGATTCAAACACACGCATAACTGATTCATGAACGGAGGAATGTACCTGATGGTCAAGACTGATGCCAGCTCCTTTCAACATAAACATCAGAAAGGGGAGAAGTACAAAGTGAGAAGCAAACGTCGTTAAGAAAAGACATTATTAGACAGCAAAATGTATATCCAACAAATGGAAATAGAAGAACATTACACGCTGCTGCGCCATTCTAATAGCATTCGAACTATTCTCCTTCTGTTTAACCCAAACTCATAAATAGTATATCTCTTGTCCCTTGTTCCCCCAGTTTGTCTTTTCTATTCTATACCTGTATACTCCTTCCATCGCGCGTGTTGTAATGCATTCCAACTATTTGAACCAATGGCTACTCTGCGAACCCCCCTATTAACCCATAATAACTCTTATACCCTCAAGCTCATCTTTGAATGAGTTTAAGTATAACCTAGCTCTGCTACGATTCAGCTCATCCCAACTGATACATTGTTGGTTATGTAGCGGCTTGTGGTTATAACATTCGTAACTATCCTCCCAATAAACGTGCATTTATGGAGGGTTCCTTATTAGGAACGATATTTCAAGAGCGCGCATTCAACAATCGAAATAATAAAATTTATGCTTACGAAAAAATTACATTGTTTGACTCTTTAATTACAATTGTGTCAAAAAAGCAAAATGCGAATCAAAGCTCAACAGATGCGCTTTGGTCAAGACTATAAGAAACGATCTTACGTTGATAGGTCATTCAATTAGCGAAGACCTTGGTGGGAAGCTTTTACGTTAAACTGCTTTCTTTTACCTTCAAGTTTTCTTTTCTTTCTTGGTTCATCATGTGTTGGTGTTAATGTTCGTTTATTAGTTATTATTTTTCTTTCTTCTTGATAAATTCATAAGTAATTTTTTCTTTATCTATGTTACGGTCAGGAGTTAAATGGGGGGTTTTGGGAGAGCGATTTATCTTTCGCGCAGGCGTGTTCGCCGACCGGGGGCTTAGCTCGTGCTATCGTCCTTACTACGATAGTTGTACAATTAAGACTGAATTAAGCCTACAAGTGACCTTAATTATTTATGCGCGCTCTTCGCTCCCTATCCGAGTTTCAAAACACTCGTGAATACAAATAAGGGTATCTCTAATAGAATAACAACAACAATGAGTCTATTAAAGAATTGAAGTGGAAGTGGAATAATGCACATATGCCAGTGCATGTCAAAAACAGTAGACAGGAACTTTTTGTAAGACTTGTGGAAAGTTAGTGAGGGTTATGGCATGGGAAAACCACCTTTGTTCTGCTTTACCAATGCTGCAATATAATGGATGGACCATTTTACAGACACACTACTGCAGCTGCAGCAAGATAATGATCCGAAGCACACCTCGCGTGTTGCCAAGGACTTTCTTGCTGAAAGTAAAACTAATAAGTAATCGATTAATCCAATCGAGAACAAGGTTGAAAACCGAATGCCCAGGAATATAGATGAATTAAAGCAATTTCTAGCTGAGGAATGAGTTCCTCAAGAGACAGTGAATAATTTGATTAACTCTATGAAAACAGATGTGATATTAAATTTATTAACCTATTGATAAATGCGACTTTGTCACACTGGGGTTATTTGATCCCTGCAGTATATTAATATCGCGACTTGCATAAGGAAGCGATTAACATACTTACAACAATATCATTATTTTACGAACACCAAAAATAAATTTTTGTGACAAGGGGTATTCACAGAAAATCAGCGTGGGAATTCCTGTTAAACGTTGTAATACAAGACCAATTGACGATGCCCTTCATTATAAGCTTTTCTGGTCCAAGTTATCTATATAAACCCTTCAAGGGTGCTTGATCATAGGTCTAGATCACTCCTGGTAAACTATAATAATAATGATAAGACTTGTATTAATACAGAAGAGGAGAATTTTTCAGCCCACCTTTCCATATACTAGCAGGGCTCCAAGAATTAACGATTGTTTTTCACTTCCTTTAAGATTGTTACAGAGAGCTAATTATCATGATGACGGGGTCTTTGGTTATCGCATTCCAAGAAAATTTGTTATGCCCGATTGTGAGTCAATAATTGATTTAGGCGGCAACACGATATCACCTTTTAGTCACTAATCGATCACTTTGTAGATGCCTCCCAACAATTAGTTAATCGAGTTGAAAACGCAAATCTTGTGAGATATACCCTGGCTTATCGCATACATGGTCACAGAAGTGCCTTTCTTGATCCCTTGGGAATAATGGATAGAGCGTAAGAGGTTTATTGGATTTGCACTATCACTACGACACGATGATTCTGGTTAACGTTAGAGTCAAATAATTCAGGGAAATTACTGCTATTGATGCAAATCGGTACGGCCTCTCTGATCCTCATAAAATTTACAACTTGGATGGTTAAGTATTAAGTATTATTTGATATTTTACCTGTTCTAATTGAAAGGGACAATGTCTAAAACTTGTAAGTTCATAGGCATAATTCATGTAAATGAATCCGAATCGTCCTTCGAATCAAAGCGAGAGGCGACTCTCGAGGAGATTACAACTCATCTTAAGAATGTATATTGTGGCAGAGTGGCTTATGAGTTTATGCATGTTCCAGTGAGTATACGATAAAATCTCATTTGAACACTGAAACCGCTACCATCAACTTGGTTATTCTATTGATATGATACTTTAACGCTCTATCGCAGGACGCAAGTGAAAGAAGATGGTTCGCACATATGGTTGAATCGCAGACCACAAAACCATTAGCAACTGAACAGAAGAGGAGAATATTTGAACTTCTTACCCGCTCCGAGGTAATATCTATTAGTGCGTACTTTCTGGGAGACTTCTGTCACTTACCTTTTGGATGATCTTTAGGTATTCGATCAATTTATGGCTAAAAAGTTTCCTCAGATCAAAAGATATGGACTGGAAGGCGCTGAATCAATGATGGTTGCTCTTGACAAACTATTTGAAGTTTCAAACAAGAGTAGTGTATCACTCTGAATTATAAAGAATATATTCAAATTATTTGATTAAAGAGGTATTCACCATTCTTGTCCTGTTTTCGAAATTGTAGCTGGCATAATAAACGCTGTATTGTGCATGCCGCACCGTGGTCGTTTAAATCTGCTAACGGATTTACTCAAGTTCTCGACTGTTAAGCTATTTCACAAGGTGAGAGGCAACGCTGAATTTCCTGAAGACTCTCCTGCCACTGGAGATGTGTTGTCACACCTGGGTAACTACAAACAGAAGTTTTTGAATCATGATGACACTTGCTTCAACGTTATTGACGTTTTCGTTGTTTTATAGCCTCATCGCCAACACTGATCTATGGAGCAGCAAAACCCTTAGACGTAACCATGCTTCATAATCCATCGCATCTTGAAGTAGGTCAACTATATATTTGAACATCGTTTGTTATTACATGAGAAGAATGTTGACAATTTTTTTGAAATTTAAAGGCAGTTAATCCCGTTGCCATGGGTAAAGCACGTGCCAAGCAACTAGATCTTATGAAATCAGAGAGTAATTGCGAGCTTGGTGATCGTGTCATCTGCATTCAACTTCATGGAGATGCCGTACGTAATAAAAGACACGCGTACATTTTTATTTCAGGAATTATGGTCAAAACTTTAACTTTTTCCTATCCGTCTAGGCATTTACGGGTCAAGGCATCGTTATGGAAAGTTTTGGCTTGTCCAATCTACCACATTTTTCTTCCGGCGGATCAATTCATATAGTAGTGAATAATCAGCTCGGCTATACAACGCCTGCCCAGAATGCTAGAAGCAGTTTTTATTGTTCAGACATTGGCAAAATTATTAATGCTCCCGTCATGCATGTTAACGGTGATTTCCCTGAAGATATTACTCATGCTATGGAAGTTGCATTTGAGTATCGAAATAAATTTAGAAAGGTGAAAAAAGGTTTAAGTCTTGAAACATATTTTTTTTTTAAAAAGAAAGATTCTAATTTCAAACCAATCTTTAGGATATTATTATAGACTTGATTACGTATCGCAGATGGGGTCATAATGAACTTGACGAACCAGCATTTACACAGCCGTTGATGTACAAGATCATACGTTCCCGAAAAAGTGTTCCAAAGCTCTATGAGGAAAATTTATTGGTACTTATAAGAATCCAAGGGTTTGTTGTATATGTGTCATCATCAAACATTAACATCTTTTTTACATAATAGACCAGCAATATTTTAACATCAGAAGAGATAGCAGCATTTCGTGAGAATTACTTCAATTACTTGGAAACTCAACTCAGAGCAGCGGAGGATTATAAAACAGACGTGAGTTCTTCCTATGGATGCTGTCGGACATTATTGGAGTATTAAATTTAAATTTTTACTAGGCTGACACGATAAAGAAGAAATGGTCCGCGATGGTTATACCTAGTGACAACACATCACAGATAGATACTGGTATGTAAAGTATTTATTAATAGACAAAATTGTTCAAGATATTCATTGCTATTTATTCCAGGTGTTCAGAAAAGTATACTCGAGAAAGTGGGAAGAACATCTGTTACTCCTGAGAACATTGTAAGTATAGGAGAATGCCTGTTAATATTATATTGGTAACCAACCAAGTATGTGCAACGCAGGTTATCCATCCTCGATTACAAAAATATCATATTGACGCTCGTTTAAGCAAAATATCTGAAGGAAAGAGAATTGATTGGGCAACTGCTGAAGTAAGTTGATTCAAGCATTATTGCAAATTGATCAATTCTTTCTAGCGCTAAACAAGAATGGAATCATAGGCGCTTGCTTTAGGATCTCTTCTGCTCGAGGGTCATAATGTGAGATTATGTGGGCAGGATGTAGGACGTGGGACATTCAGCCAAAGGCACGCTATGCTAGTTTGTCAAGATACGGAAAAAGTTGCCATCCCGCTCAACTCATTGGCAGAGGATCAAGGAATGCTTGAAGTGAGTTGCGCTGATAATCGGTTGGCGAAAGGCGGCTCAAATAGTTGTACTAATATTTCTATTTTTTTTTTTTAAAGGTCACGAATAGCAATCTTAGTGAATTGGCCGTTGTTGGCTTCGAATATGGCATGTCTATAGAATCTCCCAACAATCTCAACATCTGGGAAGCCCAGTTTGGAGACTTTTTTAACGGGGCTCAAGTAATAATAGACACCTACATTTCCAGTGGAGAAGGTAACGAGCAGGATTTTAGCATGATAGCTCTGATTTCTGATTATTAATGAGCAACAACTACTAGTAAAATGGTTGAGACAATCTGGGTTGGTTCTGCTGCTTCCCCACGGATATGATGGCGCTGGACCGGAGCATTCAAGTTGTCGCATCGAGCGGTGGTTGCAAGTAAGTCAAATTGCTATGAATTTCAACCTTGGAAGATAACCCGTTCGACTCAACAATGTAATTATTACAGTTGTCGAACGATAGATTCGATGTGCTCAATGAAAAGATACCCGTTAATCTTAATATGCATATCGTCAATCCCACAACACCCGCTCAATACTTCCATGCTTTGAGAAGACAGGTATGAAAATGATTATTCCGTTATCAGTTATCAAACACTGCAGCCTGTCAATTTGTAACTCTTGATTTTTTTGTAGCTTAAGCGCAACTATAGAAAACCATTGATCGTTGTGGCTCCGAAAACGCTTTTAAGACTGCCTGTGAGTAAAAAATACATAAATTATTAATGTTAACTATCGTAGCTCATGGAATTAATTTATAATATCTAGGCTGCTGCATCTGACCTCAATGATATGACACCAGGAACAAGCTTTCGGCCAATTCTCGGAGACACCGCCATCACTAATAAGCAGAGGTACATAGCATGCCATGGTCTTTACATGTGATTGTCAGACATGAAAGACGTCTTAAATTTAAATCTAATTATGTAGCATTGAAAAGATTGTGTTCGTATCTGGAAAGTTCTATTATGATCTATTTAAAGAAAGACAGGCAAAAAAATTGGAAGATAGGATTGCAATTGTGAGAATAGAGGTATAAAATTTACATCAGCTGCTTCAGTAGTTTGTCGTCAGTGCTGCCGTGCATAACATTGTTCGCCTACGTTAAATAGGAACTTACTCCCTTCCCAAAGGAAGATATTGTTAATGAAATGAAAACATACTCCAACGCGAATGATTTCATTTGGTGTCAAGAGGAACCATTAAATAATGGAGCATATACTTTCATGGCTCCGAGATTAACACAAATTTTGCCATTTGGATCTAAGGTATTATTAACAGTTAATTGGAAATTTTGATTTGGTTTTTCGGTTTTTCATCAGACTAAATTTGCTTTTGCTTATACAGCTCAAATATGTTGGGAGACCAGTTAGTGCTGCTCCTGCTGTCGGTGTTGCCAAATGGCATCACAAAGAGCATGCTGCAATATTGCGAGATGTGTTTGCTTGATAATGAATATCATCTTGAAGATTGAGTTCTTTATTAAGAGAAATGGATTAGGAAAGTTACATCTAGATTAATAAATTTAACAATTATCTAATTCAATAAATTAATATTCCAATGGGATACCCGTCTAAACCCATTCTATTGAATCTTAAATAGTGTGATGATGAGCGACATGTTATAATTATGAACATGCTTAAGATCCACTTAAGCAGCGTGTGGTTGTGTATGATACAGACGTAGTAAGGGGTGAGCTTCAGTATTTAATACATAAGTATCAAGAGATATTACATTTGGTGGGCTGAACAAGAGATATAGATATTTCAACGTCTCTGCAAGAAAGAAGCTGATTTGTGTAATCGATATTAGAAAGTGTTTCACATAGAACAATGATGTAAACATAGTTCAAGACAGCCATCCAATACCTTTCCATGTTATCATTTTGAACGGTATCTTCGACCATGACGTTACGAAGTCCAGAATAAGCCCATTCCGTCTTACAATGCTTCTGAATGGCCTATAAATCCAGTCACAAAATGTAATCAGCCTTGTGCACGACGGATGCGGTTAGCCATAAAAGTGCATATTTACCTGCCATATCGCCCAACCTTTGTCTTGGTATATTTTGTCGCCAGTTATTCGGTACAAAATGAACAAACTCTCGATTGTTTCTGCAATAGACAAACGATTTAATGTACCGCTCATGCATCTACTAGATCGTGATGATTATTGCTTTTTCCTACCTGGTCTTAATTTATACACACCGTTCGCCTCAGGTGGCATTGTTTCAGGCTGACCAGCGATGTCAAAACGAAAGTCCTCTGGGCCTATACCAGACATTGTTGAGTTATATGCCCAATAACATGACTCGGCAAGTCCTTCTGCAATCTCAAGATCACTTGGTCGGTTTAATATTTTTGCTCCCATTGCTACCATGCCTGGAACAAAACATGTCTGGATGATTGGTATTGTGAATGTGTCAAGTCAGTCATATTGAGCCAATTCCTAATTCACAATTATTCCTACTTACCAAATGTTCCATCTTCCGAATGTATTGTTCATAACTCAATTGGCCGAGAAATAATAATTCGCGTTTTCCGGCATAATGACCCTCTTTGACCAAATACTGGATCATACCATTGACAGATTCGTTGTCTAATGCCACAAATAAGTCAATAAAAGTTCCATGTCATGCAAAGTAAACAGATTGTTCTAATAAATAACTTACACATTCTTCTATACTGATCAAGGGCACCCCCAACGTACAGATGCTGTTTGAGAAGATACTAAAGCAGAACGCAAACGTTATTTCACTAAACTGTTTAATATCCCATCAGCATGCATTTATGTTAGCTTACTTCGTAGAAACTGTCTCCCAAAGCACCGAAACTGATTGTTTCTATCAACGACAATAAGGAATGGATAAGTAAATCTGATATTCTGGTTTGCCTCGATCTGATAGATATTTGACTTACCTGAAGTGAAAGTTCCTGTTTCTGTAAATTTTGAAACATATACTACAGTTAACAAATGGTGAACCTATAATTTATATCGACAAGGAACGTAACTAACCTGTATCTATGCTGAGTGGATATAATCCAGGAATTCTTTTCTCTGCTCGATCCAGCGTATCAATGATTTTTTGAACCTATCCTCAATTCATGTAAGATTAACTCCGAATGCAAGTTACATTCTCAATCAGTTTGCAGAAAACACAGTATACCCAATCGAGAACTCACCAGATGAAAGTAAGTGCTGTTGCCCGTAATCTCGGCTAATTTCATGAATTCAAGCTGTAGAGTCCCTGCCTCAGCCAATATCGCGTAACGAGTAGACCATATATTCTCATATCCTCTATCAATAAAAATGCCTTGCGTAAATTGACATTCTGCAGACAAGAAGTTTTACCTTGGTCACCCATGGCCACAGAGTATACGTATGTGTATACATAATATAATATGAACCCTTAAATGAATTAAATATATCAGATCCTCGGACTCACTTGTTCATGTGCCATCTGTTAAATGGTATCCCAGACGGAGTAGAGAATGCAGGTGTCAGCGCTTCTGCTAAATATATGGCTTTTTGAAGCAACAAAGGCTCTCCAGACAACTCGTATGCACTTAGCAATCCACCGAGATAACGTATCACAGTCTCGAACAAGCTAATTGGGTCGTCAGCTTTAGTGAAATCAACTTTTTTCAAGTGTTCTACGGCTTCATCGAATTGATCTTTCAAACCCATAATAAATAATGTATCTAATGAGTCTACTAATGTGGCTCCCCATCCAGCAAAAGGATCATTGGGCTGACAGCTCACAGGCCTTATCTCATCGTGACCCCAAGCACATTTTTTATATCCGTTCCAAGCGTGTATGAATCCATCTTTAACAGATTTCCGTCTTCGTTCACGGTCCTCTCGCTCTAACCGTGACTCTTTGATTTGACTAAAATCAAACTGAATTCGAGGCAGGTGAGATACATTCTTTAGTATGACGCCTTCCCCTAATCTACGCTCGATTGGTGGGTATGCCGGCCCAAGCGATGATGGGAACTCGTAAGAAAGACCTAGCCTTTGTCGAATGCGAGTCAGTCCGCTCAATTGCAATGCTAGGACGAAACATATTAGTGCCAACAAGACAGCTAAACGTATTTTTGTTGTGAGCCTCGGAAACTTTGTAACGGACATTTCAAAAAGCTTATTTAGTGAAGAATAGACTGAGAGTTTTGTAATACAGTTTTTTTACAGACCATCTTGAATAAACTTTTGTGTATCCTTGTAATATAAAAGTGTTTCATATCACATAGGCACTCTCGATAATAATAAATCGGAATTGTATTTTATCCGACTTATCGAGAGATCCGACTTATCGAATTTCATAATTTTTAATAAAAATTCCCCCTTTTATTTAATAAGCAATAATAATGCATTTGCTTTCTTCCAATTTGATGTTTTAGGTCATTCATTCTCGAGATTACTGTCCACTTTTATTTTGAAGAAGAAGAAGAAGAAGAAGAAGAAGAAAGAGAAGAAGAAGAAAGAGAAGAGGGAGAAGAAACCATAAGCAATACGGTTGTTTTGGATAGCTTCTTCTTCTTCCGGTATTCTGCAGCAAAATGACGAATATTATGAAGCAAAATTATTGGATAATTAATTATATTGTATTTATTAAAACGGGAAAGATTATCTCTAAAAGACCACGTGGTCTGACTTATCGAAAGTAATTTGTATAAGCCGAATCCGACTTACAGGTTTACCGCGATTTTATGTAATACAGTAGTAATATGGGGACGTGCTGCAACGAAGTGGCACGTGCGACAATGTGTGAAATAGGTAGCCACGAAAAAGTGGGAATCCCGTGACTTCCGAATCCTCTCTATGTTCTTCCGGAATAGGAACCGGTATATGGAAAGTTTATAAGAGACTCGGTATAAACAACGAATTTTCATATGAGACGAACGGTGCGCAAGAATCAGCCCGTCCGGTATAAAGAGATTCCGGTATATACAGTATATTTCAGAGTTGACTGTATTAATAAACAAATGAACTCACTTACGTGACACTTTCGCCCTTGGTCAGTTAACACATATTAATATACTGTATGAAGCAGAAATCGCGGGTAATTTGTTTGTCACTAGTCACCTGCTCAATCGGCTAATTCCGCCTGGTTGAATTTCAGTTGTAATAGCAACTTAGTGTAACGATGCAGTGTCAAAATTGTGTTACTTAGACGTGTCAAATTAAAACGCAGCAGATCGCTCCCCATATATCGAAACCCAGTGTCAAAATAGTGAAACGATAGAAAGATATATAAGCAGTTGTAGTTTCCCGCATCTTCAATTCACTTTGAGTTCGAATTATAATTATCCTTTTAGAATAGTTCTTTACATTCTAATAAACGAAACATTGAAATACACAGTGAAACTCGATAAGTCGGACACTCGATAAGTCGGACAAAATCTCTCTGCTCTTTTTTTTTTCATATTAAAATCCTTTTGTAAGTCGGATTCCTTGATAAGTCGGATAACCATGCCCAGCCAGTCGTGAGTGTTGGTAAATCTTATTTAAATCCACTAATTGTATAGAGGTTTAGCGATAGTAGAAACAAGCCCAAACGAACACATGCTTAGAGTATCTTCAGGTGAGTGATGAGTGCTTCAATATCATAAAGTTTTCTTGTCATTGTTGCTGTATTCTTACTTCACTTCCTTGTAACTTGATGTATTAGAATTTACTAAGTAAGATGCCAATCAATCCAAGCAACCCTTCCAATTGGGAAACATCTGAAACTTTGTTCCAGATGCTTGCTAGATCACCTATTGCAATTGACATCCTTGAACAGGTTGGAGGCCATAATTCATCATTGGATTCCAACATCTTAATCTGGCATAGTCCCATCAAATATGACCCATTTGGTATGTGATATATGTATCCTATGCACCTAACATTTACTTTCTTGACAAGAATATTTATGGTTTGTTTCTGCAAAGAGGATGGCTAAGTCTTATGCACTATGCTGGTAGTCTAACATATGCTGAAGAAGAGCCTGGGAAGTGGCTAAAAATTCCAAATTTAGTTCAAGCTAAATGCTTTGCAATGGCTGTTTTGGAATGTTACCAACTGCAAAAAACGGAAATTGATGCGGCTCTTAAGGAAATCGCAATTACTGGAGATATCTCAAAGCTATTGCAGTGCTATGAGACATTGATGAGTCAGCATGATGTTGTTTTTAACAAGAATGAAGAGCATCACCATGACAGTATTTACTACACACTTCTCAGGAATCCACTTCTACAAGGACATGTAGAATTCAAAGTCATGAGGGTAAGAATGCAAGTAAATTGTGTTTATTTCAACCAAAAGATAACGTCGTTTACATATTCCCACAGTACAATGGTGGTAATGGAGGGATAGACTTAATCATTGAAATCCCAAGTGCAAGTAAAAGAATTTAAGGTAGTGAAGATTGGTTTTCTGAACATTGTTGGAACCAATCAGCTCCAGAAAGCATCAAGTCCGGAAAGCTATTTGCATTGCATGATGTGCTACAAATTCCGTTTGGCCACTGGGATGCTATCAAAATTGGAAACGAGAAACGAGAAACAAGCTGGTAAATCTGTCGATCAATGGATCAAACTCCCAGCCGAATGGGAGCTATGTTGCTAATATGCATATGTAGGGCATGTTTCCGACTATCTGGTAGTCATTGTTGGCTCTCGCAAGGTTTTATTTTCCCATCTGGGCAATAATGGCCATTTGGAAGATTTTTATTTGGTGGGTGAAAAGAAGTGATAAGTCTGAAAATGATAATAGATTGTTACGTTCTACTCATGTAATAAAAATAAAATTGTCGAAAATGCCTGCTACAATCAGCTGCCGATAATTCGATCGTCTTGAGTAAGACCGATTTTTCCATATGATTTTTCTTCCTTTTATTCGATCGATCTTATAAATTTTTGATAATTTGTTAATTCGATCGCTTAAATAATCTCTATTAAGCCAGTGCATATAAATAATACTATAATTACGTCCGTTAATTCGAATCATTTCTATTTAAAAGTTAATTGATTGAATTCTGCCGATTATTCGACCGGTTGCATTGTTTTTGTGATAAAAATTTCCCATCATACGTTATTTTTTTCTCAAAATGCCTCGATTGAAAAAAAAACTTATGTTACGTTGAGTGCCAAACAGAAACAGGAGATATGTCAGCGAAAAGCCCAAAACCCTCAATTATCTAACTCGGAATTAGCCAAAGAATATCGTGTAGGAAAAACAACCGTACAGAATATCATAATAAAATCAGAGAATTGGATGAATATTGATATAAATAAACATTATGCTAAACGATTAAGAAATTGAAGGCCAAAATGGCAAACGCTGGAAGAAGCCCTATCATTATGGACGTCTGAGTGGATATTCGTTAATTCGACCTTTGCGTTAATTCGACGCCTGAACGCAAGCAGTCGAATTATCGGCAGTTGACTCTACCATAAATCACCGGATTTCATATTTTTTTTACTAGTAAAACATATGAAGTCTTTTTTTTTTCTCAAAAATCTCTTCTGCCCAATGTGTACTATGTGAATGACAATAGTTTTTGTATGGTTTTGAAGCCAATTAATTGTGCTTTTCGAAAAAAGTTAACGGTAAATTATATACCGTATTTCACGGACTAAAGTACCAGTGGTATTTTACAAAACCTTGTTATACCATGGGGTGGTGGTACTTTGATCGAATAGTGGTACTAACCAAGGACTCGGTTTCTTGATTTACTTTTAAGTCAACATAAACACATTTACGAATTCATTATGCTTAATGTTAAAGATATGCACTGTTCGTCCTAAAACAGACAAGTAGATTCAGTGTATATTCCAAGTTATAAACACCCTTCGACAATTTTTTTTCTAATCCATTCAATCTCGAATTGATTTCTTCTGATATACACTCGATTACATATCATATTCCAAACAAAAATGAATACATTAAGCATTATTTCTCAGCGGCCTTTGATCTTATTGTCGAACGTTTCGTGTCTAGCGAAAAACGAAGACCGAAAATTCTTATTACGCATCACTATGCAAAAATTTCATAAATATAAAAAAAAATCAACAAAGGCCTTCTTGATATACCACATGCTGATAGGAATAAGTGTGATCGTACTAAACTGCCTTGCAAAGTCGTTCAAGTGTTTGAAAATGGATTATGCCAGTTGTGGTGCTCTTCAGGTATACTGAGCATTAAGTATTCAGCGGCAAACCTTGAAAAAATTGAATCTGGTATTCATTATGCAGAGCTTACTACCATGCCTAAGAAATCAGTAACTCTACACAAAGCAGTCTCAAACCAAAGCTT